TGGATCACAGAATTAATGTTGTCATTAATCAGACAGCGTGTTTGCCCCCTTCAAAAGAACTTTCATACCTTCTGCTGCCAGCTGGGGATCAGTCCTTGAACAACATCTGTGATAGCTTGTGTTGTGCCCCTTGGAAACTCTTCAAGAATGTGATGATTCAAACAGTATTAGAAGGTGATAGAAGCCCAGCCAGGAAGTTGTTATATGAACTGTCATGGGATTGCTAAATTGGAGCTGAGCACTGGGACACTTCAAATGCAGTAGTTACAAAGAAGGAAGGAGCAAACGGGTAGTTCTGTTTTAAAGCTGATAGCACCAAGATATAACTCAGTTCATATTCAGGCATGGCATCAAAGATAAATACTTAGATGGGGCCACTGAGAGCAAAATTCATGCAGACAGTGGCTGAACTGGGAAGTTTGCAGCTGGGAAGATGAAGTTCTTTGAGTCTGTGCCTCTTTTTAACCCAGGAGAGGTCAGTCAGGAGAACAAAGTAGAGAGGTTTGATTTGCACCTAGACAGGGAGATTCCAATTCTCCCATTGCTGCCTGAGCTTGATGTTCAACGAATATGCTCCAAAGAATATTACCCTAATTAGCCTGAGCATGTTATTAATTATCCAGAACAGGGTAATCTGGCCTCAGTGTGGGCAGCAGGTTTCCTCACTGGTGTTAGATTGCAAAAGTCCCAGTGTTTTCTTTGCTGTTTGATGTATTGCATGTCTCTGCTTCACGATACTGAACAAGTGTAAGGTAAAACATGTGCCCTGTGGCTTTGGTTAATTTATGTAAGTGGTTTTCATCATGACAGGAATTTGATGTCTTTTGTGGCCAAACCCCAGAGCTTTTGTGCCATTATATAACCCTGTTAGGTTACATCTATATTCAGTTTTCCTTTACCATACAGATCTTCTAAGCTTTTACTTGGACACTAAGAAAAACAGGTCTGATTTCCTATTTCCTTACAGTTGCTTTGCACCATATCAGCAGTAGGGGGATCACAAAGTGAGTGCAAATATGAAATATAATTTATGCTTTAGTTGTAAGAAAACTGCTTCTCAGAGCTTGAGGATATAGCTCTCATATGTGCTGTGCATGCCGGGGTGCTCAGATCTTTGTTCAGCACCTTCCTGTGTGTTCAGGGTTTGAGACCAGAGGACAACTAGATTGTACAGGTTGACTCTGTGTAATGTGGTGTTAAACCTGACCCAGGAACCTCTGCATTCCATCAGGCAGCTCGTGTTGGCCCAGCACATCTGTGCCTCACAGCTCCTGCGCTGCATGAGGATTGCTGGGATGGTTCAAGTGCATGGAGCTCTTTTTGTCCTTTGCAGTGGGCTCTCAGTTGCAGGCTGCGGCTGGATGAACTGCTGTGGTAGTGGCAGCCCATTCTTTCTTTACTTTCTCTTTTATTTAATGTGGATGAATGAATGGCAAATGAATTGGAGCTTTGCTGCACTTTCAGAGGTAAAGTTAAGTCTTTCCTACTGTTCATAGGTTCCTTGTTGATACATTTAGAGATCACTATGAATTTTTTGCAGCTCACTGGGAACTGATGTTCAGTTGCTTGTCCGGTATGACTGTCTAGTTCTTTCTGCAGAACTATTCCTTCTAGGTTATGGTTCCTGACTGTGTGGGGATAACCTGCACTTGAGTAGTTTGTGTGATGCTCGGGTGTATTAAAGCACAACTTTGGGCCCACCTTATCCGGATACATACCACTTTCTCTGTTATTCCCTGGTGTCATTATGCACAGCTCTGGCAGTCTTTGTCATCCTCAAGTTCTGCCAATTATAACTGGCAGGGAGACGACTGCTGATAGTGCTGAATAACATCAGCCCTAATATTGATCCTATAGAGCTGCATCAAGGATGTCCAGCCAGTGGTGATTCCTTGTTAACAACAGATCTGAGCGCTCTCATTTAGCCAGTTCTTAATCCCCCATATGCTCTAGTGATACTGTGTAAGCTAACTCTACACTGCAGGGCTGTGCCCCCAGAATGTGCTGCTGCTGCACTGTCATTTGACACTGCGGCTCTGCTCACACATCAAGCAAAGCATAAAGCAGAGCAGAACAGAAATAGAAGTGAACAGAACAGGACTGGCTATCGTCATTCATGCAATAGGACTTTACAGCTCAGATTTAGAAAGGACAAAATCCACAACAATGACAGGCCACAGCTCGTCAAAAGCGATCACATCAAACCAGCAGATCTTGATAAAAGCCCAGCATGCTGGAGAGATGTGTGTGTTAGAAAGTGACTCCAGCATTGTGCGTGCTCAGCCATACAGGAGGAGGGGTGTATCTCAGGGCAGGCCATGGCCCAGGGCTGCATGATGCTCTGTCTCTCTGTCAGTGAATGTGACTTGGTAGAGATACGTGTTTACTGGTTTGCCCAGGGCAGCAGAGCCTGTGGAGCTGGGCTGGACCCATCACACCAGTCACTCTCCCATGACCTACTGGGAATAAAGGAAAGACACTGCAGTGTAATAACCGGAGAAAGCAGTTAGCTCACTGAAACCAGCACAGTCTGACACTGCTGCAGTGAGCTGCAAGTGTATTTGAGAAGCTATAGCCTGGAGTCATGGGTCTTTCCCAGCTGGGAGCCTGTGAAACCTGTAAGGGAGAACTGAGTTAGCCAGATTTGAAGACAAAAGAGTAAGCATCCTTCTGAGGAGCAGCCATCTACTTGGGTGTCTTCCTGGACTGATGTCAAAACATGAACCAAGATGTTTTGTGGTTAAAGAGGTTTCAAGAGGCTTCCAATTTCATTCTTATTTTTGCAGTTGGATTATTACTTTCCTGTGCATCTCATTTTGCACAAATAGCACTTTTGGAACCTGTATCCAGACTAATAAAAGCAGGTCCAGTTAAGGCATAACAGGGCAGATTACAGAGCCTGAATAGGAATTTTTAATAGTAAGTTCACTAGTGATTTTTTTCTTGCAGATTCTGTTATTGGACAGTTTGAGGATAACAAATAATTTTGTCACCTTAAATAACCGTATAAGAAGTTCCAAGTTCAACACCAAATTCCCAAGGTAGCTAAAATCACACAAAGGTTTGAAGAAACAGTCCATTTCTCTGCTGTTTTGTGAGTGCTTATACTGCTGGAAATTTTCCAAAGCATCTTCCCAATTAAAACTAAACTTAATACCACTCAGTAGGTGCTTTACATCCATTTGTTGGAGGAATTTATCTTTGGACATGCAGTGTGATCAACTCGCATGGCACACAGTCAAGAGCAAGAGCCTGGACCATCTCTGAGCACTGGTACCAGCTTTTGGATCCTACATGTACCTTCAGTTACACAGAGCAAACAGCAGGAGTTAGTATCAAATGGTTCTGTCTCTCCATTTCTTTTCCCTCCAAAGGAGGGGATGTCTCCTTTGTGTGCCTGGCTCTGTGTGGGATGGCAATGGCAGTGCCTTCCCCAATGGAGAACCCAGTTGTGAACATGGGTTTGTCAGGAAAGATGGGACAAGTAGTCAGAATGCTGAGGCAGGCTGTGGGAACTCTGCTCCATTCTGTTAAATACCACTTGGTGGGTGGGATTCAGCACCTCAGGATCTTTCTTGTTCTGTGGAGGTGAGTGCTTGTCTCGCCTACAGTGAGCTGGTGAGGCAGTGTTTCAGGCTATAGCTTTGTATCAGTTAAGTGGCCAGACTGAGTCAAATCCAGGCCTGTCTTGGTTCCCTGTTGTTAAAAATGGACTTTAATAATGTTGTGCTACTCTGCTAGGATCGTGTAAAATCCGTACTGGAAAGATCATGAGGTTTGACTGGGGGAGGGAATCATAAATTCCTGAGTCTAACTTCTAAAAATGTAATGTTTTGAAGCAATAAGAAAGCACATCTGCAGCCTGTGCAGTGCGGGAAGAGAGGGATGGGGAAGCCAGTGTCCAAGCAGCAACAGCTCAGGTAACTCTTGCAGTGCTTTAATTAACACTCCCAGTCCCTGAGGCCCAGCTTTGGTGTCTGTTTAACCAGTCTGGAGGGATTGAGACTCTAACTGAACTGTAGGGATTTGCTTGGAAAACACTCCTGACAGCAGCACACCCCAGCAGAGTGCGGTGGCGGTGTCACAGCAGTGTCACCCGCGTTCAGCTGTACACTGGATCAATTGACAGGCTTGCTAATGCAGAGTGCAAGATTCATGGGCTTTGGTCAGTCTTTGCTTCACTATCTGAATATCATTATCAGGAATGTAAATCATTATGCAATGCAGAGAAATGCCACAATAGTCTCAGTGTCTCCTTTTATACTTGTCTCTTTTTAAACAGGGCTTTATCTAAATGCAAATGTGATTTCAGCCTTCTGATGGGGACATTATACAGTCATCCATTCCAGAAAAGCACAATTAGCGGATTATTTGATTTCTGACTCAACAATTCTTGGTTTAGATAGTTTGTTTGTTGTGCTATGCCTGATATTTTAAGTTATCAGGAGGGGATTTACATTATTAGTCAGGATTATAGCCAGATTGTGTGAGGTCGAGGGTTTTTTCTTGGCAGAAAAAAACAGTAACATTTATGTGATGGGGGGGTGTTTTTGGAACAAAAGGCAACAGTACAGATTCTTACTATGCTTCATTGTCCTTTTGTGCTAAGTAAGGGACAAATTTCAGAAGTAACTATGCCAATGCTCTGATGTTCTGGGCTGTACAAGCGCAGGGTTCAGCCTTACCTGTTTGGGGATCTATTCACTGTTGAGTTGTACTCATACAGTACCTTCCAACTGAATAATGGGTCAGGTCACAAGATTATTTCTCATTAAAGGTCCATTTTACCCAATAACCATCAAGTTTTCCGTGTGCTGTGGTAGATTCACAGTGAAGTGTTCGCTGGAAATGACATTGCAAACACTGGAGTTACACATATAGTAAAATCCAGCTTTCTGGTAATAAACTTCCCTGTGGAGCTTACCCAGGTCACAGAAATCATTGCATGTTTGAGCTCTGAATCGGTCAGAACTCAGGATGTGTGTATTTCTCTCTTGCAGTATGGGAGTCTCGTGGAGCGTGTGTTTGACAGCAAGACCTGGTGAAACCTTCATTCTTTGTCTGTTACAAAGTCCAGAGGTTGTGGGAAGGTAAAGGATCTATTTATTTTTTTCCCCTAAAATTCATCAGTGTAAATGCATTTGTCACACGATTTGACTTGGCTTCAACAGCTCCTCAATTCCCTGTGGAAAGGTACTGCAGTGGAAAATTCCCATTTATCTATAGCCAAACAACATTTACAATTCCATTGATCAGTTTAATCCTTCCATATTCATATGTTTATGTAAGTGTGTTCTTGCTGTCTCCCAGAGCTTAGCTGAAGCAAGCTGGCCTACCCATTCCCAGCACATGAGGGATCTCTGCTTTTGTGACAGGAAATCTATTGCTCCACTTAAGTTTAATTAGAGCACAATGACATATGATGAGTTTACACATCAAAGCCTAGAAACAACTCAACCAATTGGCTCTAGTCCCATAGTATATTTTGGGATCTGTATTGAATTGGGATGTTTCACTATTTTTAGTGGGAATACGTAAAATACAGGGTCAGGTTCTTAGGGTCAGTGGAACTCTACCAGTTCTTACCAGCTAAGCCTCTAGTCCAAAAAACCTGTGTGTAAAGTTAAATTTAGGTTCAGATCAACTTGAATCCAACTGCATATTCTGGATTTCTGTACTGGCTGATACCCAGAACCTATGGCAATGTGTTTGTTAAGTAACAAGCCAAATCCTGTGCCATTCTATGATTATGTTTCTATTTTCAAAGTAGGACACAGACTTGGAATCTTCCTACCTAATTTAGGCTTGTAACTGCAGGATCTATATTACAGTTCTTGGTTTGCTGCTCCTGTGTTCAGCAGAGACAAGGGCAGGGAATAATTCAGTCTACATATTGTCTGAGTCACATTTTGGAGTTGCGTCTTTCTCCTGGTCAGAGGGGGGAATGAGGGATCTCTACTGACTATCAAGACTATCATCACCTCCTCTACTCAAATGCCAAAGAGACCTGAATCTAAACCAAAAAATGCATGGGGCTGGTGCCCAGCATAGGTTTCATTACAAACAGAAAATGATATTTTAGAGAAAAAAGATCGTAAGGAAACAAGATACTAATATTTGGAAGCCTGGAGACATCCTGATCTGTATTTTAAATGGAACTTCTTAGGTAAAGCCATTATCAGCGCAAGTTGGGTGCTTGGAAATTGAACCAGCAATGGGACTAGTCAGACCAGGGCTGTTTTGAAGTATCAGCTCTTGATCTGTATTTCTGCATTTTTGGAACATCTTCTTGTCCTGCATATGTTGGGGTTTTTGACAATATCCAGTTCCTGTAGTGTGTGTGAGGCTGAATGGTTTTTATTAAACAAATATGAAAAACCAGAACTGGAATCAAACAAACAGAATTAAAAGATTGCAGCAGCAGTATAGAGCCAACTTATTGCCCTTATGATGGAAAGATGGGTTTCTAATTGCCCATGAAAGCTAATGGAAACCATATTTTGGCTGTGAATAATTCTCAGGAGGGATCATAGTGAAGTCTGACCTCATCTCTTGTACTTTACTGATAGAACATACCGAGTATTCAGAAGTAGACACACCCCACAGTGCTCAAAGTGCAGAAACCAGTGGTCAGGTTCAGATATTAGAGGACTCTATGAGCTTTACTGGTGCATCACTGGCCTGTCAGAGACCAGTGCAGGTCCCCTTTCATTAGGGTATATCAGTTGTGGGAGGAGTGGATAGCTGGCAGAGGGTAAAGGTTGTGATGACAGAATCCAGGAGCAAAGTAAGTGAGATTTTCATGCCCACAAAATGTCCTGATACAACACTCAGTCGTGCTGATAGAAGGGGATGTTTGAAAACTTACTCCCGTCAACACCATCTACTTCTGACCTACCTGTAACTAAGAATTGGAAATGCCACTTACATTTTGTCCATAGAATCCTTCCTAAATGTTATACTCCTTCAGTCCCTAAGTTCTTTATTCCAGACTTTAGTAATAACCATGTCAAGGTTGTTATCTTAAATTTTAAATTTGATCTTTTTTTTTGCCCTTCTGAGATGTGTATTAGTCCTTCTTGCACTGGATGGGGCACTACCAGCATGGTACAAACCACCTGGATTCCAAATAGCCATATTGACATTGACATTACCCATTTATCTATCCTGGATAAGTGTTGCTTATGAAAATGAGCTTGTGAAAATGAACTGTGCAACACACATTTCAGATGTAAGGAAAGATGTCAGTATGACTAAGCAGGAAAGGGATCCTGACATGTTATTCCAAGGTGTGTGCCTATTAAGCCTATTGTATATCTTAGTCATTCACATCCTCAGTTAATGAGGTAGTAGCCCTGTCCCTGTTAAGTACTTCCTTAAGGCAGTCCTCTTGTTCCCCTGGAGGCTGGGAGAGCTTTTCCTGCAGTGTCATAAGAGCCTTCCTGAGGGGCTTCCATCACACCCAGGCTACGACTCACTGTTTCTGCAGGTCCTTCGAAACCCTTGCCTGCTGAATAGGGGGAGTGTGCTACCCTGTGTGCTCCATTAGCCTCCTCAAAGCCAGGCTCATACTGCTGCCACCTCCTCCCCTTCCCATCCCACCTGCTTGGCTCATCTGCCTCCTTCTGCCTCATCGTGTGACTTGACATTAGTCTGCCTTGTAAATTCTTTGTGGCAGAAACTTTTTCATTAGCTGTGTATATATAGAGCCTACCATGATGGAGCCTGAATCCCTGACTGAAGAGTATGGGCACAGCTCCAATACAGAGAATAATGCTAGTATTGCAAGGCTTTTTCTCACACATTCCCTATGGAAAAGCAGCTCTGCCACAGGAACAGCTCCCTTGCTATTTACAGGATGTCACTTTTGACCAGAGATAGTTAGAATCAAATACCAAGATAGCATAGATTTCGCTCCATCCAGTAAAGGAACAGACAAAAACCAGTACTGCGAGGTGCTCAGGTGTGACTTTGTGCTCTGAGTAAAGCTTTGTAGAGAGTCATCCCTCAAGAATAAGACACATTTTTGTCATAGAATGTTGCCATTTTCTTCACATAAAATAATCATGCTTTTTGTACCTAAGACATTAGCGATTTTCAGTGACCTCTGCTACTGTAAATCAGCATAGCTGTTGTTACAGCTCCAGAGCTGTGCTGTTTTAGATCTAGTTATAATCTGAGGTGAAATTTTGCTTTACTGAAAATGCAGATTACAGTAGTACATGGCCCGTTATGTATTTTATAGGTACATAGAGATGAGATTTGCCCCACTGCAAGAAGAACCAGTCTGTGCAAATAGGCAACCCAGGCATGCAATAGCTGCAGTGCTCTATTCTGGAACAGATTTGGCCAAAGGACTTAAATTACTTGAAAAAAGGAAAAAAATAATTCCAAATAATAAGTAAGTGTCATAACAGGTGCTAAAATAATGCCACACACCTACTTCATTATTCACTTTCTTATTTATTATCTTTATTCTTTAGAGTACTGATGTAGAAGTGCTTTTTCTGAATGTTAATTTAGCTTTCTGCAGATGGCAACCATCTGTTAAATGACAAGTCACAGTATTTGATTAGCACTTTATATAGCTTGGATGGACTGAGTGATACAATATGGAAGTACAGCCACGGAGGTGAAACCTGTGGGATTTGTTCTTTTCCTGTTACCAGAAAAATGGAGAACTTCAAACCTATCTGGTTTTGCCTGTCTTCTATATTTATGCATGTTATTTCAAGCTAAAGCCTGACATTCCTAGGCCAGTTCACAAGATGTTCTGGAGAGAATGACAGCACTAGGAAATATTATGCAATTCCATCACCACTTGTAGCGGTTATGAGTGTTCTCATTGCACAGTGTCACCATGGGGATGGACCCCCATGGATGCTCAGGGGAGGCACTGGGAGTTTCCATGAATCAAGGCTTATCAAGTAGAAAACCCTCTCAGGGCCACGACGCTGTTCTGTACACTGAGAGCAGCCTACACAGGGGTCTCTAAACTGAGAAAAATAATATTGCAGCACACCTGAATATTATCATGGTAAAGTGATCTTGCATGAACTGCACCCTTTTGTATTTTAATACCGTGATGAATCACAGCTAACCTCTATCTGTCCAACTAAGCAGGTTCTGGTTCATTTCGTATTGTGAAGTTCCTTCAAGTTACGCTGCTGAACCTTAATTTGCTGGCGCCCTTCTTGCTGTAAAGTTCCTTTACACTTTTATTCCTGTGCTCTTAATAAAGTTCATGAGGTATTGTGATCTGTTTCATTTTCAGCAGCTACAAGGCTTGAGGATGCCCCCGCTACCAAACGCTGAACTAGTTCAGAACTCTCGGCAGCTGTATCGCTACCTACTCCGATGCTGTAAGCAGCTTCCTGAAGAGAGCATTCGGCAGCATTACAGACATGCAATCAGGCAGGTGAGAAACAGACTGCTTTTCTCATGGTGGAAATGAGCCCTGTGCGGTGTTCTGGTTTTCTCCTCCTACGGGTTGGACCAACTTCTGTAACTCCTGGCACTTAACAAATGATTCTTCTCCAAGCCTGAGACACAAGTGGATTTGAGTGATTATACTGGGAATATATGAAGGAGCATTTCTTCTTATTTGCTTTGAATATGAAACCTTGTGGTTTTTCCATGGTTCTCATCTCTAATCCTTGTTAGTCAATAGAGTGGACAATCATTCCTTACTCATTTAAACACATCTTGTATGGTGAAGCTTATTGGTTCCTTGTTGGTCATTTTCATGTCTGTATTTCCCCCCACCGCTCAGGTCTCCCAGATGGGTAAATCTCTTCCAGTTGCTCATATGGAAGTGATTTCGTGCCTTTGGTCATACCTGTTGTCCTGTGTCTTTCTAGTTTTAACGTACCAGACAATTTCAGCTGTTGTTCTGAATTAAAGTTTGCTGGGGTTTTCTTTCTGCTGATGTATGAAAGCAGTAAAATACTTCATAGGAAATCACATTCGACCAGGCTTGCTGTGGAAATAGCACAGCCAGGTCCTACAATGTGTATTTGTATCTTTTCAGATAACTGTTTGCTTCAAATACTTTCTTTGCGATTTAAAAGGGATCCTTATTCTGACAAGTGTTGTTGGCTACTCATTGTAACACTTTAATGTTGCAGAGTTTCAAGGTTCATGCTGATGAAGATGATCCTGAGCGAATCCAACAGATTATTAAGAGAGCCATTGAAGATGCTGACTGGGTCATGAATAAAGTAAGTACATCAGAAAGGGGAAAGGACAATGTTTTGCAAGCCACAGTTTGTTGCTGTTCATCGGGTACTTTCCTGGCAGGGATCTGTCCTCTCTTAGTGAGTTTTCCTAAACTTCCAGAACCATTTGTTTTTCTCCTGGATCCTGCCTGTGGCTGTGCAAATCAGGGTTAGACAACGGGGGGACAAATCTCTGGTAGCTGGTGTTCCTGTGCTAGTTATCACCCAGCAGACAGGCCTCTTCACTGTCACAGCACTGAAAGATGGCACTCACACTGGTGTCCTAGATAAAAGAGTGGAGGCTGTTTACCACTAGATAGCTGGAGTCACCTATACTTCCTTGGATCTAAATCTGGTTGGGAGCGTGATATCTTAACCATGCATTTCTCAGAGTATAATGAAACAAGTCAAAAGTTCAGCTTGCTCTAAATATCTGTGATTTAATTTACTAAATGACTGTTAAGTCCTTTTCTCTGCCAGTCCATGAAATCCAAATGAGAATTGTTACAGGAGAAAGCAGAGATTACTCATAGATTATAAAATTATAGCAGTAGCCAAATCCCAGCAGTTACAGCCTAGGAAATAACTGTCTGGGCCTGGATCTGATTTTATTCTCCCTATAATTATGAAAAGCCTCATTCTGATTCTGCTACAGAGACTGTAGTCTGCTCCGTTGGAAACTGGAATTGGAGCTGAGAGGAAGGTCAGGTCACTAGTGCCTGCTCAGCAGCATTATTGTTATAGTGTAGAGGGAAAGCCTATCAAATTTCAATCCAGCTTAAAGGAAACTGAGATCATTTTATGTAGATCATGAAGAGGGTTGTAAACCCATGTCAGGATGAACTGTGGCTTCTGGTTATGTGCTCTTCCCACAAATAATTGTTTCCTTTTTTTTTTCTTTCTTTAGTATAAAAAACAGAAGTAGAAGAAGATGATGAAGACAAGAATGTCATTGGTAAAGAATCTTAGAGGACTTGCAGTCAAGCCCAGTACTGTAGTATAGTTGCTGCCTTGGATAATACAAATATAGTAATTTATGTCTCACTGGGTTATCATGAAGCTAAGTTAATATTTCTGAAGCTATTTGGGTTTGTAGATTAAAAGGCACACTCTAGATTCAAAGTATTAGCTTGTATAACCACAAGTTTAGCTTAAAGGCCAAACTTGTCTGAACTCTAAGTAATACAGAGCTCTCAGGAAAACTTACTGAGAATACAGATGTAATGGAGTACACGTCATTAACAAGAAATAAATAGTGCCCTGTGTGGTGTTCATATCTGAATTACAGCAGCTCATCTGGAAGATCTTAACTTCCAAGCCCATCTGAAACCTGAAGCATAGTATTTCCCGCTTGCCTGTCCATGCTGTGGGTAGCTCTTCATTCTTCACTGTAGGTTGGCAGTTGAACTAGTGGTGGCCTTTTCTAATTTAAGGATAGGTGCCTGTCAGCCTGAGCTCTAGACTTGCATGAAAACAGGCACCACTCAGCGAGGTTTTGTGCACTGAATGGTTTAATTACTGCAATGTGCAATGTTGTACAGAGGCCTTCACGACAAATAAATGTCCTTTAAAAGTGGGAGTCCATGTCCTTCTTAAAAAGACCATCTGTCCACTGCCCTAACAGATTTGGATCAGGGAAAACTCAGTAGAAATACCAATAATATAAATAAAATTCATTTGGGGGATGAGTTCCCTTTTGAAACGTGACCTTTGCTTTTAGCTGCACTTGGAACCTTGTGCCTCTAGGTGGCAGTGCCTGCTGTGATGTCTGCCCGAGTCCTCAGGTTGGTTTCTCCGTTTCCGAATTGCAGAGCTTCCGCACCTGCCAGAGCAGAGCTCAAGTGGTGAAGCTCGTCCTTTTTTAGGCTGTTAGATTCTTACTTGGTTTTCATTCAGCCATGAAAGAAACAAAAAGAAAATCCTCGCTCAAAGCACCAAGGATTTGACAAATGCCATAAAAGAAATGGAGGCCATTAGTGACCATTTATAGCATAAAGTACTGTATCAAAAAATTCCTTTGTCTCTGCTAACCCTAAGCCCCCTCTTCAAGAGCTCCTCTCCTTTGTTGTTTTTTTTTCTCTGCCATCACCACTGTTGTTCCTCTCTCTACTCCCACATCTTTCACATCACCTTTAACACCCTCAACTTTACTCCTGTTCTATATATTCCTTCTATCTTCTCTCTCATCTTGTCCCTCTACCCCACTTCTTTTTCCTTGAATCCTTTCCTGACAGGTCTATCAGGAGATACTCTGACATTATGCTGGGGTGTCCCTCTGCTGAATTTCAGATAAAGCAGGAAGCTAATAGCGTTTCTCCACAGCGTGTAAGGTGGAAATTTTTCTCCTTCATGTGAGAAAAGCCACTTGTTTTTCTGCTTAAATACATTTTTTGGAAAGTGCAATCATTCTGGTTTAAGCTTTCAAAATAATTTGGTGCAGAGCACAGAAAACTTCAGCCTTGGCAGCTGACAAGGAATATCCAATGTGAAACTGAACAGTGTAATGCTAAAAGATTTGAGAGTAGATACTGGAATGTGTTACTTCTAATCAAGAACAGCAGATGGATGACCCATGCTGTACTCCAGTTACATTATATATATTTGGTCCGTAGCATGGGGATGCACTGAACTTTATATCAGTGCAACAGTGAAAACTCTCAGACTCTGCAGGATTAACAGTGTATGGAACCATCCTAGTTTCCTGAACTGTGAATGTAGTGTGCTCAGCATCCCTCTGTTGCTTTGATTGTCTGACTTGTTGTAGTGTGAGACATAGTTTTGTTCAGTTACGAAATAGAATGACTTGGACACATGCAATTATCCTTACATGCCTGTTGTTTAATTTATGGATAGTTCAAGAGGGAAAGCACCAAGGAACTGGAAGGTGCTGCCGTGGCATGTCTGCAGCTCCCAAACGGCTGAGGTGCCAGCTGAGCATGGGAACACCACACCAAAGGTATGATAGATGTAACTGATATGGTAGGACCAGGATCTGTGAGGTTTAGACTTTGGGAACTGGTAAAGAGTGCAAATTTTAGCTGGGTGCAGAGGGAGAACGTGGTTGCTGAGGCAGGAGACATCCTGACTAAATATTGTGACAGCAGTGATTCAGGTGTAAGGTAAGATGAGGTGTCTGAGGGGTTTTGTTTGGTTCTTTTTCATACAAGCATAATCTGATTTTCAACGTAACAAAGCTTTTCAGAGAATGAAATCTCATGTGAAGGTAACATTTACCCTGTTATGAATAATTATCTTGGCGGAGGGGAGAGATGATGTAAACCACTATTTACTTCCTTTTAATAGTGAAAGTAACCCCAGTGTCTGGCAGTCATTCTTCTGTAATGACTGTGCTGAGGAGTCATTCAGCTGCATAGCTGAGGTTTCTATTTTCATGAGGTTTCTGTTTTCAAGATATATAAATTCTGTTCTTCAACAGCATAATTTGAGATCAAAGATCTTCTATTAGCCTCATTGCCCTAGCTTACCACTCACTGATCCCTTTGACCTAAGAGTTTACATGGTGAATTGAGTTCTCTTCAGTAGTACCCAGGGTCACCTTTGTTTGAGCCACCCAGTCTTGCTGAGACTGAAGAGCTGTTCTCTGTCCCACCAGTGTCCCCTTTGCTGTCAGTGCCACTGTGCTCCTGATTAGCTGCCAGTGGCTCTCACAGGACCCACTGGAGGAAACAGTTGCACAGTCACGGGGATGACTTTGTTCCTGCTGCTCACAGGGGACACTTTGCTGATTAGTGTTCTCCATGGTTCTCTGGCAGTTGGAAAGAAAATATTGCCACCAAATACACTGGTGCATCTGTGTTTCTATATCCAGAATCTCTGAAAATAAAGATGTTGGGGGCAAATTAAGTAATAGGGGATAAAAGAGACTGTGTTGTATACTGTGATTACTATTGCAGAGTTTGAAAGACAGAAGGTCACAGTGCTTATTAGGCAATGATGGATCATAGCAGTAAAAAGGGACAAGCCTATTCATTGGTTTCATTTCTTCTTCCTTGAAATGGAACCCATTTCTGTACTTGTGTATCATGCCAGTTTTGATAAATAAGATACTGTTGGCAAGAATATAGAGTAATGATTAAGGGCCCATCAGAAAGTCATGTCAAAGGCCTGTTTTTCTGTTGGGCCCACTCCTACAGGAAGCATTCAGTTACCAGCATCACTTTCAGTGTGGCATAGTATCACCTGGCCATGCATTAGCTTGAGGGTTTCAGGGTGTTTACAGAAATGTAATAATTACATTCTGGAAACAACAGTTTTACAGCTGGTCACTGTAAGCCCTTGAGTCAATAACTTCTAATTACTACTCTACACTTAGAGGAGGTGAGTGGAATGAAGTGTCCAAAGGTTATGTACAGGCAACAATCAGTTAAGCTAGAGGGAGGTTCACAGGAGACTTGTGTAAGACAAACATTAAAACAAGGAAAAGACAGTTGGGAGACTTCTGTTTGATAGCCATGGAGCATGTTTTTAATTCTTGAGGTATGGAGAAACATTTAGATCATGATTTAGCTGAGGAAAATGAGGAAAAGGTTCTTAGTTGGTAGCTCCAGGTTATAGACTTACAATGCTCTAAGGACAGAACCAGATTTGGTGCTATTACATTCTTACATATATATATATACACACATACACTCACATGTATAAAAACATTGGGAACATAAAGTTGAAATTGTGTGGAAATAATCTATACACAACAAATACGGCAGTAATGTGGCTAGAAAAGCTGGAACAACAGCAGTAGGATAGTCAGTGGGTTTTGTTTAGTATATAGGATCTTGCTCTTAATCCCACATGGAAATGTTCAGGAGTCTGCTTTTGATTTTTTGCAGCCTCAGAGCCTCGTGTAGAAGCTTTCTGTGTAGTGAAAATCATCCCTTTTTTTGTTTTTTATTTTGTTCATATCAGGTTTTGGTATGGAAAAGACTATAAATTTGTGGTTTATCTAAAATACAGGATTGCATTCTGCACTTGCCACGGGGAAAGACATGTTTCTGATCACATTGTTATGTCAGGTGTTTACTGATTTCAGATCACTCTTGCCACTGAAAGCCATTTGAGCCCTGTGGGTATTGAATAGAATGCTTCCATCCCAAGCCAGGTTTTGCTTAGCACCATTTGTCAATAACTGAATATTCTTTAAATCATTCTTTAGCTTTAGCACTTTGTAAACTCTTTTTCACTTGATTCGTTATGTCACAGGCATTGCTTTTTGTTCAGAGACATGTGAGCTGAAGAATTTGATGCTAAACAAAACCATCTCTTCCATGGTTATTGGCTCGTTTTCAGATGTCGTAAGGAAGTGATCTTTACTCTGATACTGTAAAGAACAAGTTTGCTCACTGTTTTGGAGGAGCAAATAATACCCACTGTGATCTTTAAGGCGAACAGTTTCTTTTTTATGAATAGCTTTTAACTTGGCATTACAAATTGTGCCTTCATGTAAAGCTCTGATAAGATGCAAACGGAAGGGGCAGCACAGTGGCTGTGAGTCTTAGACATTCAGCATCACAATATTTATAATGAGAGTCCTTGGCCTTAAAGGTTAAGAATGAGTCTTTAGCTTTATGCTCCGCAGTGTAGTGCCCATCATCAAAGCCAGCCTTATGTTTATTTGAAACGTGTGAGTAGTCTCCTTGTCAGGAGCTGTGTTCTAAAGTGAGTCAGTAACACCTGAGAACGGCTCGATGCTGTGCTGCCCGCTTGCTCCGTTGCTTTGCTGCATTCTTTCTGCCTGCTCAGAGGTGCTGTGAGGTGCTGTGGTTGTTCTTGAGCAGGAGCCAGCTGGCACATCTTTCGACTTTTATATTATGTGATTAATTTATCTTATACTTCTGTCAAGCCAGGTTTTATGAACTAGTGTTAACTGAAGCATACACCAGTCATCAAGTACTGCTTTCAGCTCATGATTAATCAAGGCAGGCACATTAGCTTTTCAAAAAAACCCTGTGCTTTGAAGAGTATTTTCTGTTTTCCTCATAATTTTGTTTGATATTTAAAATAAGTTTTTAAAGTTTAGAAGCAAACAGAGGCATCTGCCACTTGCAGCAAAGAGCTTACCGGGGTTAGTGTTATCCCTCATCCGAGAGGTCCCTGACATTGCACTTATTCCTGTAATCCTGCACACTTAGGTGGTGATTATGCAGAGGACAGTTCTGAAGCTGCTGTTTATTGTCCTTAGCTAAGCTGAGAGGCTGAAGGAGTTACCTACCCTGTTCTCTAACTACCAACCTGGGTGCCTTTCCCCCCCCAGAAGAATCTGCCTTCATAGTCTACATTTTGGAAAGGATAAACTTGATCTTTTCTTTTGAATCAGTAACTTCTGTTCAGTTTTGTTTGGGTGCTTCCCTGCCTCATGTAAAACATTTTCTTTCAGCTGCAGCTCCACAGCATTAGGTTGAACTGCCTCATCACCTGTGTGCTTCCTTCTGCTTGTGTCCAGCTTCACCTATTTAAAAACCAGTGTACTTTGGCCTTTTTTTGTTACAGCTGATTTTTTGCACAGTCCTTGGTATCCTTCTTAAAGTTGAAAAATGCTAATGTTTCAATGAACATTCCCTG